TCACCTGACTTATTGGTTTTGATGCTTCAGCTGTGGTTATTTGGTGTTCTGTTAATTGTATGTAGTGAGTGCAAGCGGGGTTCAACGTCCCTTTGTTTTTGTCTCTCGTTCCCTATTTGTGTTGGGAAACTCATCAGACTGAAGAAGTCTCTTGGAGAGACGAAACGTTTCACTAAAGAAGAACCCATCCAGAGGACCTACTTATTTTTTTTCTTTTTGATTTTTTCTACCTGGATTACTGCGATGCATCAGGACATCTTTTGTTAAAGCTTTTGAAGTTCGTAACTTTAACGGTACTCATTGCAACGTCACAAAGAAATGCATTCAGAAGTAATAAAATAAAATCTGCACAGCTTTTCTCCCCATATTGATGGTTTACATGTCCTTAAATATATAATGCGTAAACAAAATTTGTGAATGACAGCCATCTTTCTGTGTGTTTACCTCCAGAAACAGCCTTCGTGACGTCACAGAAGAGCTGTTTGGGATCGAGAAGTCTCATTACAATGTACTGGCACGTATTTACGTACGTATTTGTTAAATAAAGTTTGGACACGGGATAAAAAAATGACAGTCCACATTTGGTTAGAAGCTATACAGTAGATGGTGATCACAAAAACCAAGAAAAGCCAACGTTTAAACATTAAACTTACCAAGCTAGCAGAAATTCTGCAAAAGCTGTGTGTATTTGAGTGTATTTGAAAGCCGGGCTCCATCTTTACGGCGCTCCTGACAGTTGTCTTACTCAATATTTCTTTTCTTTCACGTTTAGCGGCTGAATCCCTCACTCTTACCTAAGCATTTTAAGATGTCCTCGGCCCGAAGATGACCTCACCGGCTCAAAGCAAAAACAATCACACTGACTTCACCACCCAGGAGAGGCCAAGCCGGGCGGGGTGGGGTGGGGTGGGGGTGGGGAGTCCAGGACTTACCTGGTAAATGTCTGACAGGCTGCTGCTTCCAGAGTCGCTGGTGATACTACATCCTGAGTGGCTGGAGGAGACGTGGGTCACCTGAGGGTGTAAGCCGTCGGCCAGGTGAAGTCTGCTGAAGTCTGCGGGGAGCTGCACACACACACACACACACATACATGCAGCACACACAGGTGGTCAGTATCAGCTAGCCTAGCAGCCGCCGCTGGTCACTTATTCGAACACGCCTACGGACTGCCACACGTCACATAATCTCCTTCAGTTTGAAAGCAAAGACTAAACATGGAAACATAAAAAAAGTCTTCTTCCCACATTTTTAACCTTCTTTAGCGCATCAGATATGCTTCTTCCATGTCTGTATTTAAGCCCCTCCTTCAGACTCATCTTTTCTTAAGCCTCTGAAACCATGTGAGAAGTAGATTTTGAATTTTTTGTGTGAACGCTTCACAAGCATTCACACTATTGAGATCATTTTGTTTTTCCATACATTTTTTGGAAGATTTCTCATTCCGCGATTTTTGTGCTATTTTTACAATTTATATCTCAAAAAACTCAGCTCCTTCAGGACATTTTGGCTATGACTTTTGGTATTTCAGCAATTTATACTTTTTACTTTATTATTTCACTTTTTCAGCWGCATTTTTCCCCATTGAAAATTAATAGAGCTCATTTCAACTTCTGTTTTCAGCTAATTTCTAATCTTTCTAGATCTTTATGACACCTTACAACTTGTGTTCTGGTTCTGCTCTTTAAATTCCTTGAGCTAATTTTAGCTACTTATTGGTTAATTTTTTAGCATTTTTTCTGCTATCTTAGTTATAATTCTGCTTCTTTCTTTTATTCTTCAGCTATCTTTACTTTTTTGCACTTCTTTCTGCTAATTTGAGCTATTTCTGCTTCTTACGTTGCTTTCTGCTATATTCAATTTTTTTGCTATAATTTTAGCTAATGTTAAGCTGATATTAGCTAAACTAAGCTTTTTTAAGCTAATTTCACATTTTGGTGGCTATCCCAGCTTCTTCCCGCTTGGTTCAGCAAACTTGTGCTTTTTTTGCTAATTTAGGAATTTCCAGTTACATTTTTGCTGCTTTAATGCACATTTTGGCTGTTTTAGATATTTAATGAAATTTTCACTTTTTTGTACTTTTATGCATTTTTTCTACTAATTAGACTATTTTTACACCCTTTTCACCATCTAGGCGCTAAGTTCAACTCGTCTCTGCTACTTTTAGCTTGTTTTTAAGCTAATTTTAGCTTCTGTTTTTTGCCTTTTCAGCTAACTTTTACCTTACCTTTTTATGCTTTTTTCCAGTTTTTCTAATTAAACTTGAATTATCTATTCATAAGCATTCAAACTAGCATTTTCACAGGAAATGCAATTTCTCTAGTTTTTACTGTTATGTAGTTTTATTTGTTTTGAATATATAGCGGTATTTATTGTGTTTTAATCCATTTATATTTGTTTTATCTTGTGTAATCATTGGTATGTGCTTTATATATTGTGCTTTTTTATTTTTCTTCTGTACAGCACTTTGACCCTGGGATAGTTTAAAGTGCTTCATAAATAAAGCTGCTACAATATGGTATCTTATTTTAACCCTTATTTGGTTTTTGTAAACAAAGCAAACTGGGTGTTGTCGGACAAACGCAAGTTCCTGTTTGTGTAAATATTCCACATAAAATATTACCTGAACCAAACTTTTAATTAGTGATTCTACAAAAGCTCAGATTTACACACCTTTTTTTAATTAAACAAGAAAATGACTGAAATAAACGCGAAAATATCATATGCTTTCACTGAATTAGTTAAAAAAATGTGAGAATAACGATGTCAGACAAAAATAAACGTGAGAAATCCTCAGTTGTCACTGAGGTGTCAGTTTAGGAACCCACTTAACCTGCTCTTATGGAAATTACACAAGAACAAATCAGACAAAGAAAACTCTGCTGAAGTTCAGAGTTCTGGTATTCAGGTAACAACATGAGCATTCTGAAAGTCAGGGGTGCACAGATTTTCTTAATTTTGGGAGATCGAACGATATTTAGATAAGATAGATGGAAAAGATCAGCTTCTCATCTAACTCCACAAAGGTCTGAAAATCAGCCACTGTTCCCTTTCTGATTTTTTTAAAAACAAGTTTGTATTGTTTCAAGAGTACCATTCAATGTCTTTTTCAATAAAATAAGACTGGAACATTGAAGTTGTATTGTGACCTTATAACACCTGTAGTGCTGTACCAAACGATTATTTTCTAATCGATTAATCTAACAATTATTTTTTCGATTAATCAATTATTCTAACAACAAATCTATAAGTTGTTCTGATGTGAGTGCACTGGATATTTAAAATGTTTTCATCAAATTAACAAGAACAGTTCTTTAATATTGTAATATTTTCTGTAATAGTTTTTTCATGGACACAAAACATGCACTCTAGAGTCAATTATTTAACAAAAAAAGCTTAAAAGATTTAACATCAATATAAAATCTCAACCAAAGCATATAAAATTCAACTAAGAGAAATATAGTGCAAGATGTTAACAATCTAACAAATGAACTAAATCATGCAAAATTCAAGGCACTCTCTGGAAAACCTATAATAAACATTTATTTATTATTTTTTATTTAACATATTTCTCAATATATAAAATTTAACAAATATCAAGACAACATCCAACTCTTTGTATTGTAACATCAGTTGTGTAACTTATTTCTTTAAGGTGAAAACTGGTGAAAACAACAAGACTGTTTTGTCTTATTGCACAAATTATAATCCAGCTCCACGTGTTTCTATTGATGTCATTTCCCCACTAGGAAAATTAGGTGATGGAGGTCCATGGAAGGCAAATAAGTTTAAATCAAATAAACAAAAGAGGATGCAGTTAAAATTAATAAAATGTATTTAAGCCACGTTTTGAACATCCAGAACACGTCCAACACTTGTTGGCTGCTTGTGCTCTTTAGGTCAGACGTGTGTCGGGAAGCTCCTCTGTTGTTTGAGACGCTGGGGGAACCGTCTGATGGGGGAACCGTCTGATGGGGGAACGTGGCTCCACCTAATACCGGTCTCTGTTTAATGGTGGATGAAATAAAGAAAGTGGTGGTACTTTATTTACTTTGAGCAAGCGAACGTCATGTTCACAAGATAATTAATCCACCAGATAATTCAGAGGCGGTCTGTTCGGTAAATTTTACTCCAGGAGCTGCGAGGCTTGTTTTCAAGCTTCAGACTGAACTGAAGCAGCGGCTGCTGACGTCATTACGCTCTTGCGCGATGCTGCGTTCAGGACAAGCATGGAAAACTCACCACTCTTATGCCAATARGGTCGCAATGATGCATTTAGGTACCGAAATGGAATTGCATGAACCTTCACCTGGTGGTTATGTAATACAGCGAATCGATAATAAAAAATCTGCGTCGACAAATTTACATAATCGAAGTCATCGATTATTTCAACTAATCGGTGCAGCCCTAAACACCTGACAGTGATACCAAAAAATTATCAGCCAAAATCAGAATCGGCAGCTCAGACTTTTTAAAGATTGGTGATTGCTCAGAAAACTGCAATGACTGCACTCCTACTGAAAATGCAAATGTTTGCTTTTCCCTCAAACTAAAATAAAACAAAACAGAAATGTTTCTTTTACACCAAGGAAATGTCCTCATTATTTCTAGTACATAACTTGAATAAACTTAGAGAACATCAAGCACTAATGGGGGAAYCCCCTCTGAGTAATTCATTCTGCATAAAGTTCTGCAATTAAAATTACAGTAAATGAGCCGACCCACTTCTCTGTGGAGATGACCCGAAATGTAAAATATATCACAAACCCAGCTGCGGGAAGGTTTATTTTTTTAAATAAGTATAAGCATTATTAAAAAATTGCTGGAGTTGCACAGTTTTTAAATGTGCAGTGATAAATGCAGTTCAGTTTATGGACTCGGGTTGGTTTGAGTCACTGAAGTGATTCTGTTCACTTGACTCACTGAAGCCTGTCACTGACTTTAAGTTTGATGTTTTATCCGTGAGTTTTAACTCGCAGACTTAGTCTACGACAGGACATGTAGGATTCATCTTAACTGAGACCTTGGATTCATGAGTCCTGATTCAGTGCAAGGATTCGAATCATTAACCCGGGTCAGTTAGTAACCATCCAGATTTGGTTAATGCTCAGTCAATTAATATTTAACAAACTAAAGTGAACAGGTCTATTTTACCCACTTTATTGTCAACAAATTTAATTAATCATTGATTAATGCATTCTTAGATTTTGGTGCACTGTGTAATTTCCCTTTTCATACAATATTTGTGACTACTTTTTGATTATAAAGTATCATGAACCAATGGATACTTACATTTCATGCYATCATGGTCCATACACTACACCCAACCTGAAGCTACCACAAGTTATTTACGAGACGCAATTATCCTTTTCCGCTTATATTTTATCAATTTTTTTCTACAAAACAGTGTGTTAAAATTAAATTATTTTACTTGATTTGAGAGTCACGGGAGTAAATTATGAATTTAATCCAACTATCAAAACTGGTTTATGAGGTCTACAGATGTGAATATTTTATGGCCGTATGTTTTATTTACCAATATATATGTATATTTGATATCCAGCAGGAAGAACATTTGCTTTGACTCACTTTCAGTTCCACTTCTGGCTGTGGCAGATCATTAATATTACATTTTTAAACCCAAAAGTCAAATTGGGCTGAATTAACTGGTCTACTTTAGGGAAAACATATCTAAAAAWTTTTTCTTCAAAATGTTCAAACAGGATTTTTAAAAGTATATATTTATTAAATGCAAAGTGTAGTAATATCTATAGAAAAACACATTTTTATGTCAGAAAACTTATGAACTGATCCAACAAGAAGTCTAACCTGACCTGATAATGACAACACTGACTTGAATGCTTTGAACAAACAGAAAAACATCTCTAAAGGGTCTCAGGGGAAAAAGTTCACATGAAATGTATTTGCAAATAAATGAGCAAACCTTTTTAAGTAACAATGCAATTTACCTATTTTAATTACTTTCCAAGGCATTCACTTTCACACACATCTGTATCACGACTTTTAGCATTTCCAGATGGAAAGAAAAGTGCCAACTTTGTGCAAA